CTTGCCAGTTGAATTTAGTGGAACCTTTTCTCTCTGAACTCATTTTAGCTCTGAGGGTCATTTGACACAGAGGACTACCCTGCTTTTATTTTGGAAGACCCTTTTTCAATTCCACACTCTCCTATATTTCCGTCCACATCACTGGACGCTCCTTCTCAGTCTCCCTTATGGACTTCATGTTCTCTATCTTATATATAAAGATGTAGTTCCTGCCTAGAGAACTACAATGCACCTTTCAGGTTTTAAGCTTTAAATATCATTTTCTAACAGTATATTGGAGACCAGACTAGTTTAGGTCATTAAGTTATATGTTCTTGTTACACATACACATTGTGTTTTAGTTTCATATCATGTATCACATATGAAAAATTATTTTGTGTATAATTTCTTTGTTCAATGTCTTTATCCTCTTCTGGATTGTCTGTAGTGTCCATCATGTCTCCTATGTGCCTACTATAGAGCCTGGAATGTAGCAGATGCCCAATATTTGCAGAATGAATGAATTCATATGTAAGTGACTGAAAGGGTTCAACAAATGTTAGTTCTCTTTCCCTTTCTCATCTCATATTTACAGAAGCATGGATATACCAGAGTTGTGGAGTCAGAGGATACTACTATCATTTCTATAGAAGACAGACAAATTCATGGTATTATGGATGTTACCAGATTTTAAAAATTATGGAACTGTTAAAAATTTTAGAACTGCTCATAGACACCTTGTACAGGCAGTTGGGAATATAGATCTAGAACTCAGCAAAAAAGTCATAGCTAAGGACCTGGATCTTCAAATTATAAAATTTTATGTTTTATATCTTTTAAAATGTGTTGTGTTTTGCCCCTATGTGTTTCAAAATGGAGGAAAAGAGGACAACTGGGTTTCAGGGGTCAAATGCCAGGATATGAGACATAGAGTGCATCTGGTAAAAATTAAAATGATTTAAAGTCTGATCTGATTAGAAAGGGTCAGTCTTGAAAAAGTTATAAAGGAAATTGTAACACAAATACGATTGTATTTTCTTCTCTCCTTCCCCATACTTTTTGACAATAAATCCTGAGCACAGATCTAAGGGTTTTTTTGCCTAGAAAAAACAGAAAAATATCCACTCAAACATAGTAGTCCTCCAAAGTCATGGTACGTGAAAGGTTATGAGAGTTTGGGGATCTGATGAAGTTAATTATAGTCTTACAGCTCTGGATAAGACCCAGAAGCATTCAATTTCAAACAAAGGTCAGGGATAGTTAGAAAGTTTGATCACACTTAAGCTTGAACTCAAACAAGGTTGCATTGAACAGTGACGGTCCAGTGAGTATTATATTTCATAGCTGTATCAGGTACTTAGACTTCTTTAGCTCTTCTAAGATCATATCAAAAATACTAGTATCCTTATGTTTTTTTAAAAAATAAATGAGCATATTTGTATAAGCAAAACGGAATAAAGAAGGCTAAGATTCTTGTCTCCTCTGAACTATTTTGTTTTTTATAAGAAGCCACAGTGAGGCCGCGAGGCTGTTCACTGCTTGGACACCGTGTGTATCATGGGGCATTTCCCTTGCGTTGCAGACCAAGTTCTGCAAAGTACTGGGAATGTTAACTTTGCAAACTCAGATTTCTATGAGAGTGATGAACTTACGTTTCTACTAGGTAATAAACAGTCTCCAGGTTCATTAGCAGATATGTAGGAGATCATTAATATTAGGAGAGTCACTAGAAACATGAAGCAAGAGGAGTGGAGGGAATGTGAGGAAGAACTAAGCTGAAAACAGTTTTCTGTCCTTTCCATGGCTGCTCCTAAGATGTAGCACTGCACTCTGTCCCACAATTGAAGGTATTGTATTAATTCCAGGCTTTGAGGTAAATGAATTGCTAATGTTAAAACTGCCTGTGTTTGAAGATCTCTTTGTCACTTCTTAGCCTGTTTTGTCAAAATCAACTCCTTTAACTTTTAAAAAATTTCTTTCCTTAGATAAAGCACCAAGGCAGATTCTACTTCATTTATAAGCTTTTCTTCTCAACAGTGAAATACAGAAAAATCAGTATCTAATGGTTTTTGTGCAAAGCTCAGTAAATAATAGATTTCATTTTTTCATTCTAAAAGCCAAAACTTAAAAAGCTTGTGCCATTAGGTTTTGCCAAAGATTACTAGCAATTAAACTAGAAATGATGGTAATGCTACAGGCCCCCCAAAAAGAGTATCAAGAAATCAACTATTGATAATTAAAATAAACGGTTACATCTGATTTACAGTAGCAGGTGCAAGAAAGGTGACAGCTAATGGGTGCAACATACCTCTATGATTCTTCACAATTTCACAGCTCTTGGGCTTATGGGGATGTATATGTTGATGTGTGTAAACATAATTTAGATGAGGATTATGTTTCAGGTCTATTGATCTAAGGTACACTTTTCATGAATAACCTAAGATATGAATGTTTGGGTTGAACAAGCATAAATGAGAGGAGGTTCTTTCATATTTGAGCTTTGTGGATAGAAACTCAGCTTCTCCTTATTACTGTTATTTTTTCAAGCTACTTGAACTAGACAGATAATTTGCCTATGTCAAGACCTAGGGATTGGGACATATTATCCCATCTAAATACTTAAAATATATATTTAGTATGGCATTGTCACCTTGGAGACCAGCAGAAATAAGAAGCATATTGCAGATGAGCAAAATTTAGTCCTGAGAATATTTGCTTAGCTCATTAGCTATTAGGTAATAGTCTAACTATGTATATGTAGTTGTATGCATAGCTTTGTAAATGCCTACTTGAAATATTACTAAATCATTTTATAATACAATTTTTAAAAATCCCTGCCTGGAAAGTTTTATGGAATCCATTTGTTTATGCTCCAAGCAAAGATATGTAAGTAACAGCATCAAATTAGACTCAATTCAGTCACAGTTGCTATAGTTTTTGCCAATAATTTTTATTTTAACCTATGCAAATTTCTGAAGAATTACAAATGTGTAATTTATTGACATGCATTATTTTTGGTGGATATTTATTTTTAATAGAAACATCACAAGTCTATATATAATATGGATGAAGATAATTTATAAACTAATACCATAGAATTTATGTCTTCAGAAATATTCTCATCTAAAGAATATCTCTTTAAAAATACATATAACATTTTAGTACAGAATAAAATACTGTACAGAAAGTTAAAAACTGGGTAACTTTTTGTTCTCTTCTAAATGAGAATACAACGATTTTGCTAATAAAGTTATTTTTGGAATAGTTTTTGTCAGAATAGCAACAAGCACTAATGTTACTCATTGTTTATTGGCTGAGATGTTCACAGAAATTGTGTGCTAAAAATTATCAGGAGAACAAGGGAAGGAGCTGTGTGCGGTATTGAGGAATTCTCATTTCTGTCATGGGCAAGAGCAACAGTTGCTGCTGCTACCTCTCCCCAGTAAAGATACTTATTTCTCTGGCAGGAAAGGTGATACTCTTTTCGGGACTGCTACTTTAAAGTGTATTATCAACAAGTTCAACTGGAAATAAAATTAATTTTCTTTAGAAAATACCAGTGGTCAACAGAAGCTCCTACCTTTTATTGTTCCCCATGTTAACATAAAACAACTTTTTTTTTTTGAGACAGGGTCTCACTCTGTCATCCAGTCTGGAGTGCAATGGCGTGATCTTGGCTCACTGCAGCTTTGACTTCCAGGGCTCAAGTGATCCTCCCAGCTCAGTCTCCTGAATAGCTGAAACTACAGGCACGCACCACCACACCCACTGATTTTTGCATTTTTTTTTGTAGAGATGGGGTTTTGCCACATTGTCCAGACTGGTCTTGAACTCCTGGGCTCAAGCGATTTTTCTTTCCCCCAGCTACCGCCCCACCCTGCTGGTCTCCCAAAGTGAGTGCTGGGATTACAGGAGTGAGCCCTCGTGCCCAGCCATAAAATGCCTTTTAAGCGAAACTTTTTTTTGTTGATGTCCTTTCTCAAATTTATGTGTTCTTATTTCCTTTCTGTGTCAAAAGAGAAGCACATACCATTTAATTTTTAATAAAGCTTTCTCAGGGGCATTATTTAAAGAAATCTTCATATTTAATTAAATATTTTAAGATAATTGTGTATTATTTTCTACTTTTATATTGACATTAATTCCTGACAATTTGCCATGGTTATGACGTATATTTCTTAGCTAAGTAATCTTAACTGTGTTGCTCTTCTATAAAAGGCGTAACAATCTACTCTCCAAGATGTCAAATGAATCCCCCCTATAGATGAAACATTTTGAGATAATTAGAATTGTTATTATTATGATGGCCAAAACCACAACTACTTTTGTACCAACCTAATATATACATAAAATATGCATTCTGGTCACTACTCACCAAATATTTTTAAAACATGAAATTTCTCTTCTCAAAATACATGCATAGTTTCCTCCAACAAGCCCCAAAACACCATTGAGTTGAATGGTAGCTATTTTACCTATAGAAGAGGCTCACTGACCCTCTTAAGAACTTCACCAAGTTCACTGGGTTGTAATAACACTTACTTATCTCTTTGAATTGCTTTCAGATCTAGGAACTAATAGTAGGAGGAGTGCTGTGTTGCCTGTTAAAAATATACGAACATTAGGTGGTAGTCCACAGGGTAAACCAGCTACCTGAGCATAGGCAGAAAATTGCCTGCCAGTTGGCATTCATAATATTAACATTTCCATAAGCACGAAGCATACCTCTTTCAGGATTAAGGGGTCATGCTCTTCTCATGCATGGGGGTGAATAGCATTTCCTCAGGATTTGGGTGGTTTGTTGAGAATGGAAACTCATTCTCATGAGCATACTGACATTGAATAAGAGGACGTGTAGATAGAATAAACATGAATGTAGTTTCAGGAGAAAAAGGCCAGACACACAGAACTGACAAGAACTTTCTCACCACCAAATTGAGATCTAGTCTCAGCAAAAAATGTGAGTAAACAAAAGAAAGCTAATATTGGAAATGTGCTTATAACTAAAATGTGTTTTTCAGAGCGCTGTAAATGTAAGCCTATTAGAGCTACACAGAAGACTTATTTCCGGAACAATTACAACTATGGTAAGGAAAACTTCATGGTTAATGTATAAACTGCTGTGTTAAGAAAGGTGTGTGGGTGCATCCATGAGTATGTGCACACGTAAATGAGTGGAGCCATTTAAGAGTAAGGCTTAAAAACAGAAGGACAACTTTTAGGAGCATAGTCCCTCCCTCTGCCCCAACCAATTAAAATGTCTCACATGGGCAAAATGCTTAACACTTGGTTGATGCTGAAGCATATCAGGCAGTATTGTCATCCTACAGCCATACACTTAAGTACACAGAGATCAAGATAGACCGGACTCTTCCCTACCTGGAGGCTGAAGGAGGATTTGAGCTCAAGTTGGGTTGCATAGGCCATCAGTTGTGCTTCACTGGGTGAACAGCAGAGCACTTTGATGTATAAGGAACTGTTAAAAGACTCAAACTTGATTTCTTCAGTCAGCCTATCCCATGAAAAACACTGACAAATTTGGAAAGTAACACTTGTAGAAGTTGTTGGTATTCAGCTAAGGAAATGTGTTGTTATCTAGCTTGACTTAAAATCCGACATTCTAATAAACTAAATATTAATTGAAGAGCCACCAATCCAAATGTAGCTGACAAACGTAACTGAAGGATTAAAAAGCCTGCCATTTTTGTGCCAGGGACTGTGCTAAGTGATTTCCATACATTATCTTTAATTTTCTCAGCTGCCCCATGAGCTATATTACCGTCCCGATTTTATCAATGATTATTGAACCTAAGTTGTCCCTTCTTTGATTGTTCACAATGTACTTTTGGATGCTGGTGTATATTTTAGAGTCATAAATCCATTTATACAGTCATTATATTTAGAAAGAGCTATTAACAGAGCTTTCCGGTTGATACATAAGGGACTGATATTTACTGTATTCCATAGGCATTTTGATTTTTTCTAATATCTATGGTATTAATAAAAGGTATGTTACTATCTCTGCATAAGACTATTGATGTTGAATCAATGAGTAAACATGGAGATTAAACAGAATTTTACAATGAATCTTATTAAAATAAGGGTTTTATTATTGCATTTATGTACACTATTTTTAAGTATATAGGATATATAGAGCAGATTTATTTTTTCTATACTTTTGGGAATTGAAAGGAGAGAAATGAATAACACTGTAAGAGTTCCCTTCAATATCTTTCAAAATGCAGTGTATTAAAAAATATAAAGTTGAAAATTTTTGGTTTAGTTAAATCTCTTTAAAACAAATCCACCTTGTTTCCCAAGTTTTTCTTCAATGGAATTAATTTTTATGTTTTGTTTGCTACTACTCTTAAGAGGAATGTAGCTTTTCTTAGTCAATGATGGATGCTCTTTCTAAGTTTGTAAGGTTATGTTTATGTAAGAAGTCAAATGCCTGGCTGCTTATCTAAGAACCTGCTTCTTTACAGATTGATGTGAAGAACCCTAGGGAAAAGGGAGGCCTTAATTTCTAGGAGATTAGCTTGTTAAAATTGAAAAATGCTATATGAACTTTTATATACTGTAACACTAAGAATAAAAACATATACATTTTATATCAGGGAAATGTAATTATTTATATTTATTTTGTGTATCCTATTATCAAGTTTTATTTTATCTAGCTTCTTTAGTGCTGCAATGGTTGTTGCTGTTATTTTTGTTAAAAGTGGAATGACAAGTCATGGAAAATGAAGATCGTAGAGAAGGTAGCTGAATGAATATCATAAAATAAAATGGGATATGGATTATAATTAATGGAAAGGAGCAGATAATTTCTTTTTTGTAGCCAAGTAATAGCTAAGTTGATCATAGTTTCAGGATTGTCATTTGTCTGGGCTTTACTTACAGTTTCTTTGGGAAAGGGAGGTACTCAAATGATTAAATAGAAGGAAGAATTCTGAAAAGGAAGTGTATTTTACTTCCAAAATATTTTTGTCTTCTGCATGCGTCCATTGAGAAAACAAGTCAAGGTGGGAGCAGTTGGAAATTCAGACAAAACCTCTATTTCATTTAGATTAATTCTGGGAAAAACTCCTTAAGTGTTAACAAAATTACTTGAGTGAAAAAGTAGGTCTTGTAGAAAGATATTTATTTTGGAATGGGTACATGTACTAAAAATTTCTAATGAAAATAGTAGACACTGGGTAAATAAATCATTAGTTTGAGAACATTTGCACAGTTCACTAATCTCTAATAGCTGATGGATGCTATGAAGCACGTTCACTTAAGCCAGGACACACAAAAATGCCTGCTAGCTGGGGTTGAGAATGTCTCATCTGATTCTCCCAAATGGCATTTCAAAAAGGGCAGTCTTATCTTTTGTTAAATACAGAATAGGGAGAACATGAATAGAAAGGGGCTCCACTTGCCAGTCAAACCAAGTGAGGACAGTTGGGTAGTTACAGTTTGTTTGCTACACGTTCTCATATTTGAGGCAACCAATTCTCTGAAGACTGAAATGTGCAGCTTTTAGAATTCATTAGTAATTTAATTTCTGTAGTGTGTGTTGTACTGGTAGAATAAGTTTGTGTGATGAAATTGAAGCATTAATGGGGGGAATGGTTGATCAGCTGGTTTTATATTTTTCACAGATTACTTTCTTCTAATCCTTTATAGTCCAAAACCTCTAAAATATGTGGGAAGGTACTCAGATTAAAGTGGTTTGCAATTATGTGCCTAAGAAGTTTTTGAAACATTGACTCATTTGGATAAACCGTGTTTTCCTCTATATAATGTCCATGGATAGTGAACTGGAGCAATAAGGGCACTGGGAGAAATGCCATTGGCTTTTCACTAATTGACATTTTTACTTCTTTCTTCGTGTTTTAAAACTTCTCTTTTTAAAAGCTCATTTACTAGAAGCAGGAATCTCAACAACTTGACTCTTTTAAAAGGGAGAGATACAGAAAAGAAGCAGATCTGTACTTTCTAGATTCTGAGTCATATACTTTAACTTTGCAACTGAAGGCAATTTGTTGTTACATTGATAAGTAAAACAACTCTTGTGAGATAAATTGGGTGCCAATATATCCATCAAGAGAGGTAGAATAGTGCTATTGATAAGTAAAACAACTCTTGTGAGATAAATTGGGTGCCAATATATCCATCAGGAGAGGTAGAATAGTGCTATTGACATTTGAGAATATATTCCATAGCACGTGAGGGAAAGGAACGTTGGAGTGTCTGACTTCAAAGCAGATGGAGGAAATAAGATCTAGTGGTGACAATTTTCATTCAAGAAGTAAATATAGCCCGCTTAGAGGAGAATATAAAAGATAATCTGTACTGACCACAAAGAAAGAAAGGAGCTAATATCTGAGCAGCGAGCCGAGATGAGGAAGGTGAAAAGATTGGAGAACCAGTTTGGGAACACTATTGAGCAGGACAATTTTATAACACTAAAGAGGCCACCACTTGAGAAAACCTGTTAATAAACCTGATAAAAGAATGTCAACAAGGAATAAAGCGTATTTAAGTACTAGGTCTTTTCATACAGTAAAATTAACATAGTTTAAATTCCTGTTGGCAGGAATTGGAACAGCACATGCATATATACACATCCAAAATGGAATTTTAGAGAAAAATTATATCAGATCATTGACTCAATTTTTGATTCTCTAAATGAATTTCTCAAAAGCACATGCACACACATGCATAAATACATGTGAATATATACATAGCCACAAATTGGAAAGGGAGAAGGGCTGGGCATTAGGAGGTCAGGTGTGTTGTTTTATGTCACACACTACAATCTAAGGCAAAAATATCTGGCTGACTTTTCTGTTCCATTCATTGAATATCAAGTGGATAAGAATTAACCAAAGAGAAGTCTACTTTGGCTTTTTTTGAATGGGGCACCTATTATGTGTCATATTATTATCAGTTTTTCTTGTCTTTTATCCCAGTCATTCGGGCTAAAGTTAAAGAGATAAAGACTAAGTGCCATGATGTGACTGCAGTAGTGGAAGTGAAGGAGATTCTGAAGTCTTCTCTGGTAAACATTCCACGGGATACTGTTAACCTCTATACCAGCTCTGGCTGCCTCTGCCCTCCACTTAATGTTAATGAGGAATATATCATCATGGGCTATGAAGATGAGGAACGTTCCAGGTAATTCACTCTTTAAGGATACAGAATAACTACTTTGCTCATCCCACCCTCATTGCATTTCTCTCTAGAGATCTTACCCTCGCATTTTTACACTGGGATCTGTCTACCTTCTTGGGGATTACAGATAAGTTTTACTTGGGTTTCTTGATTTCATATATGGAATGGGTGTATGTGTGTAGTTTATAGGTTTACATTTTTCTTGGGAGAGGGACCATGACTTCCTTTGTTTCTTAAAGGGGTCTGTGACTCACAAATGGTTAATAATTACTGTTCTAAATCTTAGCTGTCCTATTCAAGAATAAACATATAAGTCTTTCTTGGCACTGTTTTCTTGTACTTTTCAGTAACAGGTTTTAATTTTTCAAAAATGGTTGCTTCTTTTAAAAATCAGATTACTCTTGGTGGAAGGCTCTATAGCTGAGAAATGGAAGGATCGACTTGGTAAAAAAGTTAAGGTAAGCCTGTATTTTATATTTGAAGTAATACACAGAAAACAAAAGTAGAAAACCAGCCATCTGTCATTGAAGTGAAATAGCTGCCTTCAACCATAGGAGAAATATTAAAATTTAGTATGCATATATTTATATACTCCAAGAGCTGAATTTGTCTTTCATGTCTATTTTATTTAAGGAATGAATTCCCTGTATGTGTATCAGAGATCTAGCTACAGTTGCCCTAATGTCTCTTCACAAGGAGTCTAGCTGTAGTCCAGTCCTGGTCAGGTGGTTCCATGGTGTCTGGCTCCTTTCAGCTTATAGCTCTACCATTTTTAAAGGCATCGCTTTCATACTCATGTTCACCCGGAGGTCACAAGATGGCTGCTCTGCCTCTAATCTCATGTCTACATTTCAGGCAGGAAAAAGAGGAGGTAAAAGGGATTTCCAAGAGCCTCATCAAGCAACTTTTACTTAGCTGCAAAACAGGCTAGGAAATGTAGTCCTTTTTAAACCTGGGGATATTGCTTCTTTGAACACACTGCAGTTTGTGAGAAGGGGAGAATAAATGATGGGAAGGAAAATAAACAATGATGTCCAATGAATAAACACCAATTCCTATGTACAAAGTGTAGCTACATTCATCTCTGTATAAAAGATCTGAACAAGTTAGGTCCTTAGAGCAGTAATGTAGCCTTATTTTTAAGCCAATAACTCTTAGATTGTGGAGTTGATACATTTTTAAAAATCACATAGTACATTACTGTATTATAGAAGGTTTTGTTTCTTCTTACTGCACTAAGCAAATCTGTTTTAAAGAAAAGAATAGGGTGGGGGAATGCATAGGGGGACAAAAAAATCTCAAAGGCTGTGTGGGTGGGTGGGGGGAGTGGGAACTGTAGCACACGTAATACATCCTCTTCCTTCTGCAAGTCTGAAGGCTTGGGAAACATTTACATGGTAAGTTAAACACCCCTGGGCGGTTTATCTTCTACATCTGGCACTTGACACGGCAGACACGTTTGGGTTTAAGTGACCTACGAAAATGCAGAGGGCATTATTCTGTAAGGAGAAGCTACCCTCCAGTAAGTTCTTCCCCCCTTCAGTAGATTTGTCAAAAGTGAGATGCATTTCAAGTTCAGACTTGTGGGCATTCTCTCTGCATCTCTCTTCAATTAGTTTGGTGTTTATTAAAGAAAAAAGTGGCTCTTGTTCAGTATGTTGGAATCTCTTACTGTCTTTTTAATTTGGTTTTCTGCTTGCTAATGCAGAACAGGAATTTGTCCTAAATTCCTGTACCAGTTGGAAGAGCTTTCAATATCCCTGCTGCAAAGCATGTAACAAGGCTTACTGCTCCTCTTTTGGTACCAAAACAATATCATTGGGTTGTTGACAGGATACATGGCTTGTTTGTCCTGTTTCCCATTGCTTTCTGCAATATTTCCCATTGTTTTCTGCAGGGGACTTGCAGAGTTATTATTGTAAAGTCATTTATATTCTTAGTCTGGATTTAAATATTCTAAAGGAAAGAAACCAATGATTTGAACAATTTTAAATTCATATGCAGATATTGAGGGCTAAAGAGTTTGGGTAGAAAATCTCCTTTGGCCAGAATTATTGAGATTCCTATTTTAGTTTTCCAGTCGATTTGAAGATGTGTAAAAAGAGCTTTATGGAGGGTGTTATTTTTTCAATCAAATCTGCTCTTTGCTGAGTTTTGCTCTCAGTGGATAAATCAAGAAGGTTTATGAGAAACCTTATTATTATGTTTTTTTCATGCAAATGGTTGTTTACCTAAGTCTCTTATAGCAGACTATTCAAGATGTTTGGACTTCCTTAGGAAGGTGAGAATCAGGCTGTTTTTAAAAAATGAAGACAAGATTGTGGAGTAAAGTATACTAAAATGAAGAATTACTTTCAATAATGAAAAAACAATAACAAATTTACTATGTGCTAAGAACTTTATATTTTTATCAATCTTCAGATGTATCTTCTACTTATAAGTAGATTCTATTATCAGTTCCAATATATACATGATGAAAATAAGGTCTAGTAAGTTCAAGAACTTCACACAGTAAGTGGTGGAGTTAGAATTTGAACTTGGGCCATCTGACCCAAGGATCTGATGGTCCTTGCTGTTTAAAGTGTAGTCCCAGGACCAGCAACGTAGGTATCACCTGGGAGCTTGTTAGCAATGAAAATCTTGGGCCCTGTCTCAGACCTACTGAATGAAATTGCAATTTTAACAAATTCCCCATATGATATCTGTGTCTGAAGTTTGGGAAGTACAGCTATAGTTTGTATTCCCTACCTATCCTCATGTAATATAACTTCCATTTTACTTAAATTACATAAAAACATTATTGACATTAATATGAAATGTTACTAAACTTGATTGCGTTTATTAAAACCATTGTTAATGCCTGCTTTGTAACACTTAGAATGAGGGCAAGACCTTGTCTGTTTTATTCGTTGTACTTGGTGGATATTACTTAGAAAAATATTTTTGAGACCTCCCCATCCCTCAAAAAAATTTCCATTGTTTTTCAGTGCTCAAATCACATAGATTTTAAAAGGCTATGTTCTTACATGTATTAAGAGAGGATGTTGAAAAATAGCCTTCCCTTCAAATTCTATGTGTAAATCTTCCATTTGTTGAGTACCTGTGAAGCATCAGCCTCCTGGCTGTTACCTCAGGAAATACCCAGAGATATAGGGAGATATTTCTGTCATCATTTACAGACATGGACATTTTAAGTTTAAGGTTTGATAAGAAAGCATTACTAAATATATTATAGATGGGCAACTTTGCGCTCGTTAAAATAAGAGAATAATGTTCATATTGCATCAGTTTTCTTGTTACCCTGGGAGATAGATTTATACTTTTGGAAAAGTAGCAAAATGTTTCAGAGATCTGACCTTCAGTCTGACCCAGTTGTTAGAATCGTGGCAATGATGACCCTGGTGATATGTGCTGGTGACTATTTTCTATTTTACATTTCACAGCGCTGGGATATGAAGCTTCGTCATCTTGGACTCAGTAAAAGTGATTCTAGCAATAGTGATTCCACTCAGAGTCAGAAGTCTGGCAGGAACTCGAACCCCCGGCAAGCACGCAACTAAATCCCGAAATACAAAAAGTAACATCAGTGGACTTCCTATTAAGACTTACTTGCATTGCTGGACTAGCAAAGGAAAATTGCACTATTGCACATCATATTCTATTGTTTACTACAAAAATCATGTGATAACTGATTATTACTTCTATTTCTCTTTTGGTTTCTGCTTTTCCCTTCCCCCAACCCCTTTGTAATGGTTTGGGGGCAGACTCTTAAATATATTGTGAGTTTTCTATTTCACTAATCATAAGAAAACCTGTTCTTTTGCAATAATAATAAATTAAACATGCTGATACCAGAGGCTCTTTGCTGGAGTCCCCAGATGTTACATTTACTTTCTGCACCCCACTTGGGAATGCAATATTGGATGCAAAGAGAGGTTTCTGGTATACCCAGAAAGCTAGATATGCCGTAAAACATACTCTGCCGATCTAATTACAGCCTTATTTTTGTATGCCTTTTGGCCATTCTCCTCCTGCTTAGACTTCCAAATGTTTATAAAGGTAAAATGGCAGTTTGAAATCAAATGTGACACAGGCAAAGCAATCAAGCACCAGGAAGCGTTTATGAGGAAACAACACACAAGATGAATTATTTTTGAGATTGGCAGGAAGCAAAATAAATAGGAGCTTAAGAAAGAACATTTTGCCTGATTGAGAAGCACAACTGAAACCAGTAGCCGCTGGGGTGTTAATGGTAGCATTCTTCTTTTGGCAATACATTTGACTTGTTCATGAATATATTAATCAGCATTAGGGAAACGAATTATAACTAGACATCTGCTGTTATCACCATAGTTTTGTTTAATTTGCTTCCTTTTAAATAAACCCATTGGTGAAAGTCTTTAATTTTTTCTCGTCTTTTAAAAGAAATCAGAATTGCCGTATTGACCGGGAAAAGATTACATACGCATATGCACCAGGGTGTTAGTTTTTAAAAGTACATAGCTCTATAAAATGCTGTAGATTTAGATGATGAAATGTGCAGGGTTTGGTTTTGTTTTTTTCTGGTGTGTGTGTATCTGTATTTGTGTACATGTGTGTCCGTGCACTCACACCCAAGGTGGATTAAAATACAGGCCTGCAAACTGGCCTGCACGTTATCATTTGGATTTATGCTGCTTAATGCTCAGTGAAGAATGTCTAGTAAAATGAATTATGGTTGTCAGGAGAGAGGTTATTTGACTTTTGAACCAATTGCACATTTCCCATTACCCAAGCTGCAGTGAGATCCCAGGGGCCGTGGTGACCAAATGATGCTTTTATACATGGTCCCTAGCTTACAATGATTCAATTTACAATGCTTCAATTTAACAATTTTTTGACTTACAGTGGGTTTATCAGGATGTAACCCAATTTCAACTTACGATATTTTCAATTTAGAATGGGTTTATCCAGATGTAACCCCATCGTAAATGGAGGAGCATCTGTACTTCCTCCCTCCAGCAGAGTTCCTTAGAGCCTGGGCCAATTACTTGAAAGTCTCATTCTCTGCCATTTACATGTGTGTTATTAGTAGAACCAAATTTCTAAGCTGTGGTGTGCTGAAATTAAAATGCTTATGAGGCAAAAATAGTGCTATGTTTCCTTCGACAAGGATAATCGAGCAAGGATGAAATTCATTAGTGAACAAAAGTTTCCTAAAATGGTAAATAATCATCTCTCCAAATGTTCTCTTTTAAAAGTGTGAGCTGGGTGTGGTGGGTGGACCTGTAATCCCCCCACTTGGGAGGCTGAGGAAGGAAGATGGAGAGAGCCCATGAAGTTGAAGCTGCAGTAAGCAACAATTGTGGCCACTGCACTCCAGCGTAGGTGATAGAGCACGACCCTGTCTCTGTAACAACAAAAATGTGAAAGTTCATTCTACAAATAAGTCATTCGTGTCATACCCAACTAAAATGGAGTCGGGAGGCCGTGGGGAAAGGCACCCAGGTCCTGTTCAGAAAACTGATTTTTCAGTACAACAGAAAATCCACGAAGACTTCACTCGAACCTTAAGATAAAGTTACCTAGTAGCTGCTGCCACTCACCAATCAGAACTTGCTAAATCCTACAAGACACTCCTGGCTCCAGTGAACTTTCATTCAAAACCATTTAGATCACCTTCCTCTCTTCCCCAATAAAACCCCAGCCTTTCTCTTCGTTCTTTGAACACACCTAGAGGCTACACTGGTTTGTGTGCCCAGAATTACAATTGTAATTCTTATATTCCCAAATAAACCCTTTACTTGGAGATTGATCTCTCTACATTTAAAGGTGACAGAATAAGGGAACATTCCTCCCTTCTGATTGACTCTCTTACGCCAACAATTTCCCCAGCCCCAGAAGAAAACATTCCCACCTTTGCCTATAGGACTGCATAGTTTTTTGAGCTTCCAAAAGACCAGTTCCAAAGGGCTTGCCATCTGCTCGTTGTTGCTGTATTCTCAGATGGCAAGGACATCTCTTTTGAGGTGCTGATGTCATAGCCTTAAAAGGTGAGTTGGGTGTCACTGGGGCGTAATGAAGCACCACCGTGGAGGGACTGCCCCTGAGAATCTCTCTTCCTGGTATGTAAACCTCAACTTGAGCCTGAGGACAGAGGGGTAGAAAGCAGTGCTGGTGCCTCAACCTGTTTTCCTCAGGCCTTCTCACGTTAACTCTGAAAAGAAGGACAAGAATTGACTACAGGAGAGGTTTAAAGAAACTGTTATCTCAAATCCATAACGTCAACTCTCTCAAAGCACAGTAAGCAATGTTAAGTAAGGAACTCTTTTGATGTATAAAAGCTGCAGATGTTTCCAGCGTCTGCAGTTTTTTTGTGGGGGTGAGGGTTGGGTAGAGGGGGTATGATCAGTTTCTGTGTAGGAATTTGACACACTTTATGCTTAATATAAACAAAAGATGGCCAGATTCTTAGATTTAGCAGTTTTGTTTTTTTTTTAAACCACCTTCCATTTGGTGCCATTTTACAACCTACTGTTTTACCACTACCATCTATAGTGGTAATGTTTGATTTTGCTCATCTGTATGAGGCTTCTGTCAGCTGTTTAAACATTTCTAATGGTATAAAGTCCATGAATAAAGTACATTTGGTTTTTCAGTTTGATAGCTACAATATCTTCATTAATAAACTGTGCAGACCTCTTTTGGGAGGATGGCATGATTTATCATGATGGTCATGTTTCTCATCAGACTGCAAAACCATTTCTACTCTAGTTGCCATAGTACAAAGACATCTTGTTAATGCCTCTCTACAGGGTTTTCGTGCAGATACTAACTTTTAAAGCCAGTAAAAATTTAATATACATGCATCCTTGTCAGGAATCTTGAGATTGATAAAATTTATATTTCTTTAGAAAATTGTATTCACCTTTGGGATTTTAATTTTCTTAGCCAAATAAAAGTCAGATGCATGCTGAATAAAGTAGCAAATATTTAAATAGCAGCAAACATGGATTCTCTTTTCATGGATACGTATTTTACTGTGTCACATACAATGTAATCTGATTCAGTGCCATATGTTGCACCCAGTGTTCAGGGGTGGGGTGAGACAAACTGTCTTTCCACATCTGTCATACATTAAGAAGGCAAATACAAAAGTTATAATCACTGTGTGCAAATCGCACTCCCTATTACCTTCTGCAAAAAATTATTTGCTATTACATTTCAACAAGTAAAATGACTAAAAGTATTTCAAGATTGATATTTAGCATGGAGTTTTAACATATTTTAATACACAAAAATTCAAGAAGGTGGTAAAAATAAAGCAGAGACTTCTAATATGGTGTTACTGAAATCTAGCCTATAAAATTTAAAAGTATGGTTCCCAGATGTATTAATATTAACAAAAACAGTATAGCCAAACCTTTCATAATTATCTGTTTGGGGTAATAACATCTAACAGTGGCGATAACTCTATACGAAACACTTGTGCATATGTTACCTCACTTAATCCTTGAAAGTTGTTGAAGTAGATGTTTTATTCCCATATAAGAGATTTTTTTTTAAAATGAGGATTTAGAACTTCAGAGTTCTGTAAGTAGCAGAGCTGGGCTTTAGATCCTCATAATCTTATTTCCCAAATTATGTGTTTTCCACCATTGCAATTTCTGATAAAAAGGTAAATGCATCCTAGCATTGTAAAAAAAAGAAAAAGCATAGTGTCAGGCATATAGTGGTAGCTAATATTTCTTAAACTGAGGTCTACCAACTATGTCAGAAAACCTTTATAAGAGTCCCAACTCTAATGCAAGATACTGTCACTTCACCTCTTCAGGTTTCCTCCCTATTAAATCACAATTTCAGTAGAATTATTTCCATACAGGATGGGTAGGTGAATTAAGTAATTTTGGGGGCATTAATTGTTTAAAAATATGTGACTCTCAGTTTAAAAAGCATTCTTCAAAGTTTCTATTTTCCCTTGAATTTGGAAAAAAGTAAACAGTTAATCTTATTTAACAACACCTGGAAGAAAGTTGAAATTAAAAGTTGATAATTATTACAAATAAAACCAGAATGACTACTTCCATTGGGAACTCTCATTTCTCCTTTTTAGATTATGCCCCCTATTTTTCCCACCACCAGAGTCCTCCATAATCTAGAAAAACTATTCTACCTGACTAATTCCCCCTGCTTTTCATTCATAAGTATTTTCACTATGACAGGAATTCAACATGTTAACGCAAGACAACTAAACATGTTTTTCTTTGGATGAAATGCAAACATTTGTCATGTTTTTACTTAGGTGGTTGTTGAGAACTTGAGGAGTTGTCCCATGAAGAAGGAAAGGTTGTGCTCAGGGAAGTTTGTCCAAAAAAAAGGATTTCTGGACTGTTGAGGAAACTGACACAGAAATGAAAGAAAATGCAGAAAAGAATTTCCTACTAACCACAGGGATGTGGAGGGGAATGATTCCACTCATTACACAGTGGTACTGCGGCCACTCTGGCAAACAGCCACCACCTCCCTCCCCACACCCTTAGCATCATGATGTGGGATTAATGTTATGATTGCAGGGTTGGACTTAGGATAGTCTGGGACCTCAGCAAGGGTGGGTCGGGTGATGTCTGAAATATAGATTAGCTCTGAGATGTTAAGAAGTCAACGAAACAGGGAACAAAGGATTTCTTGTTTATACTGGGTGGTAAATCCAATAAATAAAGCAAATCCGGTTCACTCTAATGTCTTTATTTCTACATTGTTTTGGTGATTCTGAGGGAATCATGGCTTCCCAGAGATGGTATCCCTGTCCTAGCACTGAAAAGCAGAATTTGAGTTGAACTCTGGGAAAACTTGGCAAAAGGAAAGATCAGTATGAACGGAATTCCCGTTGGAAAACTTTCTCTAGGACCTAAAACTCAAGTAATAAGTCAAAGCTTTAAAAGATGCATGACGCTCCAGGTGAAGTCTTCTGCTAAAAAAACAACAAACATGTTTAAATTTGCCTTTTTCTTTCCTTCTCATTAATTACTGGAATTGCCATGAGTCCTTTGCTCTGTGAAGGTTTCTCTTTCTTTGAAAAGTCAAGATATGGTGTTTTGTAAGTGATCTAACCAGCCAGCTCTTTCTAATAAAATGTGGCCTAAGAGAAGAAAAACAAAACAAACCAAAAACAAAAAAACGAAAACAAAAAATAACCATGAAAATATTATACCCACAAATACTGAATTGTCCTGTCTGCTTACATTCATCTCTTTCCCTCCTGGCCATTCTCACCTATTCTGCTTTTCCTCATATTGCTTGGCTAATTAAATCAAACACATACCCACAGGAATATTTTCAGAATTGCTAGAAGATCAGGCATGATGCAAATAGAACTATCTGATATTCTTTAAATTCATTGATCAATATCCATGAAGCTCA